GTTACTGGGTGGGAGGCAAAGTAACTGGCTAGAGGGTAGAAATGTACTAACTTGGGTGAAGGAGAAACAATATACAATAAGAGGGAGGGTGGCAAAAAAAAAAAAAAAAAATGATAGAAGCAAGGGAAGGCAGGGAGGAGTGCAAGAATTAAAGGCAATAGAAGTAAATACTGTTACATACACAATCTGGCCATAATGGTGCTCTATGAGTTGATGAATGGAGAAGCAGGAAGGCTGAATATGTGTAGCAAGATGGGAGCAAATATGCATAGGTTTGCCCGAGAACATTTACATATAGGGATTTACCTTTGCTGCAAATGTATCCCTGGATGTGGTAGAGCATACGGGGAAAAGTCATGAAAATTTCTTAGACATAACCAAATACTTGAAGGAATGAGTTGATGGGCCTGAGGGCTCAGAATTAGAGTCTTGAGAAACACCACACTATGATCAATCAACATAACATAGTCCACAAAGGCAATGTTCTACATACTACTTTGGTGAGTAGCAACTGGGGTCTTAAAAGCTCAACTGTTGGTCTGTCCTTGTCTGTAGGAAAGAAAAATGATGATAATGGAAGATACATGGAAATAATTAGCCCAACAGACCACAGAGATCAGAAAAACTAGATGGTGCCAGGCTACCACCGTAAACTTCTCTGAGAGGGATCATACTAGAGGGTCCTGGAAAGAGAGGGAGGAAAATATGAAACAAAACTCAAAACAATAAAGAAGACCGTGCTTACTGGTTGGATGGAGATTAGTGGAACCCTCAACACTACGGCCCTTGGTCACCCTTCAATTCTGGAAGTGAACTCACTCCAAGACTCAATTTCCAGTCAAACAATAGTTAGGTCTATAAGAGCAGCAATAACACTAGAGAGGTACGCACACCTTAGAATAATCAACCATTTGAGATCAAAAGGGCCACATTTACCCAAGAAATATAGAGGAATGGAAAGAGGAAACACAGGGAGGGAGTGGGATAAGTGATGTTACAATGAGGCGACTGTAATCAATGAGATGAAACAAAATGTGTATGAACATGATTGTAAAACTGATGACCCGCTCTGTAATTCACAATAAAAAGTCAAAAAAAAAAAAAAAAAAGATTACAGTCTTGGAAACACTATGCAACAGTCCTACAGGGTAGCTGTGTGTCAGAAGTGACTTGACTTGACTGCATTGAATGTTTTTGGTTTTATATCTTGTGGTTATAATTCCATTTGTGAACAAGTTCTTTGTTCTGTTAATGAGATAGTATTAGTGTAGGATGTGTCTTGAGTCAATCTCTTTTGAGATAATACAGAAATTAAACAAGCGACTGAGGAAGCAGAGATGGGGGAAGAGAAGTGTCAGCTTCATGAAGATCGCCCTTAAAAGAGACAAGTACCTTCCTCCCAAGCTGACAGAGAGAAAGCTTTCCCCCCTAATATCCCGAAACCTGAATTCAAACTTCCAGCCTCCTAGGATCTGACTTTTAAAGCCACCCATTTATGGTACTTATAGCAGCACTAAGACACCTAGGGTACCAAGCAAAACTTGTAAAGCCACAACGACACAAGACTGCTTCTGTGCCTCAGAGTGTGTGAGATGTCACATCCATCTGTTCTCCCAGCATTGTGCACAGTTACTACACACTTAACATTATGCAACCAGAGTCTTCCTGCTAAGTTTCTAACTATGATTTTCATTTTTAAATAGGGAAAGGGAAACTGAAGCCCCAGATACATTGAGATTCACTTGACCAACAGCAACCCGCGAGTCAGCATGCACAGTGCTTGACCCCAACCCCTCTTCATCACATTCTTGTCGACTAGCAGGACCCTGAGGTCCAGGCAACCTGAGCTAGGACTCCAAACGCAACTTACACTGGATGGAGGTTTGGGGACTGGTTCTGGCTTGCCACTGGGGTGTGCAGAATCAGCGGGAGGTGCTGGGACATTTGTATTCTTTCCTGGAGAATCAAGAGAACAAGAATGAGCAGCAGGCTAAACAAAGAAACCAAAGTCCTGCCCCGTCAGGACAGCGCTAGCCAGAGGAGTTTCCCGAGTCTTCCACATAAGTCTGGGGAAATGGAAGGTGGGCCCATGAGGGCCTGGAAAAATGACTGGCTCTGAAATGATAACGGTGGGCACAGAGAGATCTCACCCCTGGACTTACTAGGAAAATCCCAAGTTGGACACTAGTCCTTGCTACTTTCAACCTGCCTCAGTGATGGAAAGGGTGGTGATTTACGTGGTTTTTTTTTTATCTCTTATACCTCTTATATGCTCCTTGGAAACTCTGTACAGGGTTGCTATGAGTTGGAATCAACTCAGTGGCACTTAACAACAACAACATATTTTATTATCCTGACACCTCTGTATCACCACTTTAAAGGTAAAGAAACTGAGGCTTGGAAAGATCACCAAACCTGCCCACAGTTATACCACCAGTAATTGCAAAACCAATACTGAAACTCAGCTTTCCCTCCCCAACCTCCTGGGGATCTTGTCACAGGGAGCCCCCTTAAGGGGAGTTCACATCTTACTCTCAGGGTGGCCTGGCACCCAGCTGGAATATTAATTACTGAATGTACAGGTGGAGGCGGGTCATGTCCATCAAATGCAGCACAGTGGACTCTAAGCTCATAACTGGCTTCCATTTGTCCATTGAAAAAAAGGTGGTTGTTGTCCAGAGTAGAGTTGGTTCTGACTCATAGCAACCCTGTATAGGGTTTCCAACGAGTGAATTTGAACTGCTGACCTTGTGGTTCAAACCGACCTTGCAGTCGAGTACTTATCCTACAGTGCCACACCAGGATTCTTGAACAAAGGAAACACCAGCCACGGAAACCCTATACAGGGTCACTATGAGTCAGAACCAACTGGATGGCACTTAACAACAACAACAATCAATTGTTACGGTCTTGGAGTCCTGGTGTGTGACAGGATGAGCATTGGACTGCCAACCACAAGGTCAGGGGTTCAAATCCATCAGTTGTTCCTCGGAAACCCTATACAGGTTGCTATGAGTCAGAACTGACTGCACAACACTACACAACACCAGCAACGTTAAGGTCCTCAGAGGTTTAGAGAAAGGTTCCCCAAATACCTGTCAGCTCAGCCAGGTGATCAAACGAGGCCAGGGAGGAAGATGGTGACTGGAGCACCTCACTGTCCTTGACCAGCTCCTCTGCCTTCTGCCGAAGTCGGGATGCTTCCATCTGGGACTCCTCCAACAGCTCCCCTAAAGTGACAACGGGGAAGGAAGGAGCCAAAGGAATTCTCTTAGCTCTACCATGACCGGAAGACTGTTTCTGCCCAGCTTCAGAGGCTCCGGGTCTTGGACTTCACTCCCACCATCATTTCAGTGGCTGAATGGAATAACTACCACTCCCAACCACTACCAAAAGCAAGCCAGAGGAAGGAAGAGGGCCCAGTAATCTGGAACATAGGACTGATGGGAATCTAGGTAAAACTGGCTCCTAGTACCCTTTGTCTCCCCTCCACTTCTTCCATACCCAACCATGGAGCTCCACAGAAAGCCAGGGGCTCTCTTTGGGTAACATCAGGTTACCCACAGCCTAAGCTCCCAGAGTTAGGGGCTGTTTTAGGGGCGAAGATCCTAGTTAATTCCAGCCACCAAGGGATAGATTACTTGAGTCCTCATTTTCCTTCTCTAACCAGTGGAGAAGGGAAACCTCCCTTCCTCACTCCCTCCCCAATCTGCTGTCCCAAGCAGGGATCTGCCAAGCAAGGAGAAATGCATTCTGAAAACCCAGAACCAATGTTTGCCCCCCAAAGCCTAAGAATAGAGAAGGTGGCAGCAGGGTAAACAAAGAATGTAGGAGTTGGAACAAAAGAGAGTCCCTGTCTAGATGGGAAATCGCTGAAGGCCTTGCATGTAGACAGCCTGTGTGTGTGTGTGTGTTTGGTGGGGGAGGAGGGAGGAGCTGACAGGTGGGAATGATGCAGCCATGTGGAGGTGGGTGAGGTTGTGCTAGGCAATGGCGATAGAACAGAAGTCCAGGAGCTGACTCCCGCCTTGCTCAGAGCCAGGGTCTGCACCCCACTCCCTAACTCTACTACCTGGAGGCACTGGCCCTGGCTCCCCTGTTTCTTGCTGCCTCTGGAAGATGAGGCCATTCTGGTTCCATGTCCACAAACCAGGCCTTGTAATTTCATCCCTCCCACGACCCCCACACCTGCCGCTCAGTTCTATCAGGGCTGGGAGAAACAGGGCTCAGGAGGACATGCCACCCCAGACTGCAGGGAGGGTGCAGGATCTGCTTTACCTAACATCTTTATCCCTTGCATTTTTTCCTTCAGCCGGGAATTCTCCTCCACTAGGCGCTCAAAAGCTGCAGATGCCTCTCCCGGAGGTGCGCTGCCCCCAGGGTCGTAGATCCGGTATGGTCCTCTCCCTTCCATGGGGGTGGCTCAGCCCCTAATGTGGTGTCGACTGGCTGTAAGGACAACAGCAGTGTATCAGGGGGCTGGCCAGGCCATTCAGGTGTTCTCTCTAAGCAAGCTCTAGTCTGTCTGTGCCTCAGAACAGAAAAAGGCAGTTCAGGCTGTCCTGACCACAGCCCAGCAGAGCAGGATGGTCACCTTTGATCTGGACACTCCATCTCTCTCTTAATGCAATCTAAGGTGACATCAGTATGTTTTTGCAGCCTCACTTCACTCCTGGTTCTTTGGATCAGCAATTAACTGTGGGGTGCATTGTGGGGTGTAAGAGAGAGCACTTGGGTGGAGTAGAAAAACCTGTCTGTTGAGTCCGGACTGTTTTGGTCATCGTTGAAATACTCAGCCCACCAGTAGCTATGAAGAGGCTGCTCAATAAACACTTATCAAATGAACGATGGGTTTAACATTAACTCATTGACAGACCTTAGCAGCCCCTTCCCTTACCTGAGAATTCAGTCTTCCCATTTGCCAAATGAGAGTCTTATATTAAATCAGAGCTCTCTAAAGTGAAGCGCACGCCCCCTAAGGAATTAGGGACTCGTCCAATCCAAAGTTCCATCTAAATTTACCTTATTTTCTTACAAAATAAATAAATAAGAAAAGAAAATCCTAAGAAAAAGATGTAATATTCAGCATATGAATTGACATGCCACACCCCTCCTTCAGAAAATCTCTCCCTTTCAGTTCTCTTTGGCAGAACTGGCCATCAACCTCCTACCTATTTGGGCAGTAGGTGTTTTGTTTGCTTGTTTTTACAATTTCATTGTTTTATTTCACTTACAACCACCTGTAGAGCAACTCTCTTTCCATTCATTCATGCAACAGGTATTTATTTAGGTCCTACTGTGTGTTGAGTATTTGCCTGGGTGCTGGGGAGTTATAGCAAACGAAACAGACAATCTCTTAAAGAACTTACATTCTAGTGGGGAGATAAACAGCAAATAAATGGATGAATGGATAGACAGATGACACAAGGATGGACAAGTAGGGGCAAGGAGAGTATGTCAGGTGGAGAAAGAAAAAGTCTGTGGACAAAACAAGTTATGGAGGATAAATAGTACCAGAGAGATGAGGACTTTAATTTTATATAAACCTGGAAGAAGAGGCCTCAGGGAGAAGGAGCCGTCTTATCAAAAACCTGAAGGAGACAGTGAGGGAACTAGTTAGGCAGATAGCTAGAGGAAGAAAATTCCAGGATAATGTTGTTCTTGTTAAGTACTACTGAGTTGGTTCCAAATCATAATGACCCTGAAACTCTTTTCAGGAGCAGAAAGGCTCATCTTTCTTCAGCAGAGTGGTTGGTGGGCTCCAATTGCTGACCTTGTGGTTCGCAGTCCAATGTTTATCCTTGCTATTGTCGTGGAGTCGGTTTCGGACTCACAGTGACCTTGTATAGGGTTTCCAAGGAGCGGCTGGTAGATCTGAAGTCACAACTTTGTGGTTCAAACTGACACTGCAGTCTAGTGTTTATCCTACAGCACCACACCAGAGCCACCTTAACAACAACCACAACCAAGCTTCTTTGATCAATGCAAAGGCCCTGAGGCAGCCTGCAGCCCTACAAACAGTTCACCTCCATTCAAAAGCTCCAAAGAGCTCTACCTGGAGTTCTCATCAATACTTGGAAACTAGGACTACTCCCTCCCAAGGCATATACTGTTTCTGTTAGGAATCCCCAAAGCCCACAAACTCACACAGTGCTTGGTGAAAGAAGAGGACAAAGAAGGATGAATAATAACAGTCATCATTTATCAGCTATGCACTTCAATTACGGTGTTGGTGAAGAATATTAAAAGAACCATGAACAAACAAATCTGTGTTGAAAGAAGTACAGCCAGAATACTCCTTAGAAGCCAGGTTGCTGAGACTTGGTCTCTCATGCTTAGGGCATGTTCTCAAGAGGAACCATTCCCTGGAGAAGGACATCATGCTTATCAAGTAGAGGGTTAGCCAAAAAGAAGAAGATTCCCAGTGAGATGGACTGACACAGTAGCAGCAACAGTGGGTTCAAACCCTAACAATTGTGAGGATGGCTCTGCAGAACCGGGCAGTGTTTTGTTTCGTTGTGCTATGAGTTGGAATCAACTCAACGGCACCTAATGACAACCACTGTTCTTGAATCACCTGTGTGTCAGGCACTGCACTAAACACTTCAGATGCATTTCCTCAGTTAATCTGCACAACAACTTGAACAAACACACTAATATCTTTCTTATTTATAAGGGCAGACACCGAGGCTCCAGGTGATTAAGCAACTCAAATCATAATTATTTATATAACCAACAAGCAAAAGATCAGACACTGTGTGTGACCATAATGACTGAGACTTTAACCCCAGCCACACTCCCATGCCAAGACACAGAGATCCTTCTCCATGACTCAGGCCAGACAGGCAGGGAGAAAGAATTCAAGTCCATTAATAGAGTAATACTGGGTTACCAGGGAACTTCTGTGTTATGTTTTCCCTGCTCAAGAAAATACAAGAAATAGCAAGGATTGTGCCAAGGCAATCTATGTTATCATGGGACAACATGGATCAGAAACAAAACAAAGTTCTAGCCCTCCACCCCTTAAAGACAAAATGAGTACACAATGAGACCCCTCCACCCTCCAAAGACAAAATGAGTAAACACAAAATGAATACATATTGTGGGAGGCACCTACGCCCTGCTGGGCCCTGCTGAGGCAAAGGACAGCTGCCCACACACCCAACAGAAAAGTCATCACTCAGTTTAGGGATGACCTGTTTTAAACTTGAAAGGTCAAAGTTACAAATAAGCCCTGATGTGTGCACTGAATTAAATGACAGTGTGGGTAAAAACTTAGCACAAAGTCTGGCATACAATAAGGTGCTCATAAAAAGGGTGTGGGCATCTGGGATATATCTATGTATCTGACTGGTATGAGCATCTGACCACGAAGGCCGGAGCAAGCTTTACTCATCTCTGGATTCCTGTCAACAGCATAGGTCTGGCACTTGGAAGCCACTAAACATTGGACAGATTTCACAAATGGGGAGAACAAGAGTTGAGAGAGGTTGAAGCCACCTATAGTGATCACATAGTAGCAGGAGGTCTGGTTCACTGCTCTATACCAAATCAGTTGCCATCAAGTTGATTCTGACTAAGGATGACCCCATGAGTGTCAAAGTAGAACTGTGGAACTGTCACCAATTCTACTCAAATTATTCCAGAATATAGAAGAGGATGGAAAATTCCCTAATACTTTTTATGAAGCAAGCATAACCCTCATACCAAAACCAGAGAAGGACATCACTAAAAAAGAAAACTATAGACCAATAACCCTCATGAACATAAATGCACAAATTCTCAACAAAATCCTAGTCAACAGACTCCAACAGCACATCAAAAAAATAATACATCATGACCAAGTGGGTTTCAAAGAAGGGATGCAAGGATGGTTCAACAGTAGAAAAACAATCAACGTAATCCACCATATAAATAAGAAAAAGGAAAAGAACCACATGATCATATCGATTGATGCAGAAAAGGCATTTGACAAAATCCAACATCCATTCCTGATAAAAACTCAACAATGTAGGAATTGAAGGGAAATTCCTTAACATAATTAAGAACATATATACAAAACCAACAGATCACTCTCAATGGAGAGAAACTGAAAGCCTTCCCTCTGTGAACGGGAACCAAACAAGGATGCTTTTTGTCACCACTCCTATTCAATCTTGTTTTGGATGTATTAACCAGAGCTATACAGCATGATAGGGAAATTAAAGGCATCCAAATTGGCAAAGAGGAAGTAAAACTCTATTTGCAGACGATATGATTCTATATGTTGAAAACCCCAAAGACTCAGTAAAAAAGCTACTAGACATCACTGGAAGATTCAGCAAAGTGGCAGGGTATAAGGTCAACAAACAAAAATCAGTTGGATTCCTCTATAGTAACAATGACAGCACTGAAAAAGACATTAGGAAAGCAATGCCATATACGATAGCCGCCCAAAAGATGAAATGTCTGGGAATAAATGTAAACAGAGAAACAAAGGACCTATACAAAGAGAATTACAAAACACTACTACAAGAAACCAAAAGAGACCTACAGAAGTGGAAGAACATTCCATGTTAATGGATAGGAAGACTCGACATCATGAAAATGTCAGTACTGCCCAAAGCAATTTACATATATAATGCAATCCCAATCCAGATTCCAACTACATTCTGCAAAGAGATGGAAAAGACAATTACTAACTTCATGTGGAAAGAAAGAGACCCAGGATAAGCAAAGCACTGCTTAAGAAGAACAAGGTTGGAGGTCTCTCACTCCCTAATTTCAAAATTTACTACATGGCCACAGTGGTCAAAACAGCCTGGTCCTGATACAATGAAAAATACACTGATCAATGGAACAGAATCGAGAATCCAGAAATTAACTCATCCACATACAGCTAAATGATTTTCAACAAAGTGCCTAGGCATATTGCATGGGAAGGAGATAGTCTCTTTAACAAATGGTGCTGGCAGAACTGGAAAGCAATATGCAAAATAATGAAACAAGACCTTTACCTCACGCCCTATACAAA